TCCTCGTCCTTTCCCTCGGGTAGCTTTGTTGGGGGAGTTGCTGCGCGAGTCCTCTGCAGCGGAAGCAGCTGGTGAGCCGAAGATGCGCTCTCGGGCTTCTGCGTACTTGCGCTCCTTCTCTGCTCGCTCCTTCTGTGCACGTGCTTTGCGCTCTTCGAAGTCTGCTGCTGCTTTCTTCCGTCGCTCTTCTTCGCTATCGTCGTCGTCGAGGCTCATGCCTGCCATGTTACGGGAGAGCACTTGAGGGGTTGGCTTGCGCGCAAGCATCGTGACTTTTGGCTTGAAGGTTGCTGCGACGGGCGCGGGGTGGACCTCGGGGTACCATTGAGGCTCTGGGTTTTCGCTGTTCCAGTCAGGTCGCGTCGCTAATAATGAGGAATAGCAACCTACGCCGCCTGCCAAAGCTGCTTGTTGAGCTCAGCGTGTTGAGCTTTAAGTTGCGCTTTTGTAAGCTTTTTTGGCTGCTCTTCTACGGGCTTCTCGTCTTCTTTCTATACATTGTGAGCGCGTTGCCGTCAAAGAAGAGGGGCATACGTACGTCGGCGAGTGATTCCCAGTCGTCCTCCCAAGCATCGGCGGGTGTGTTCTTGGACGCCATGATCTCTATGTGTGGTGCTCTGTCTGGCGATAGTAGAGGGGGTATTAATTCAAAAGCTTGAGTCGCGTGGAGGAGTGATCAGTTCCAAGGTATGATGTCGCCAATATTTCGAGAGTCCCCACCTTGACCCCTGCGGCGGGCCGCGATTAGCTCCTCCACCGCTATGTCATTCACTGTTGCCTTCCACCGCGACGAACCACACGCGTCGCAAACCCTTTCACCGCCGCTATCGCCCTGTGAATCCCCCGGCAAATTCCTTCAACATGTCCGGTAAGGCTACACTGCGCGCCAATCACTCACCATGTCCAACAAACGACCGCGCATCCAGCTAACCCACCCCTCAGACCGCGACGGCGACTCCACCATGCAATCGTCACCCGCCAATGTTGCCTCGGACGATGAAATGTTCCCCGACGAAGCTCTTCCAAACCCAGCCACACCGCTCAACGCCAACCTCGCAGGCGTAAACGAAATCTCACCACCAAACTCACAATCCACAACTCGCGAGACTCTCGGCGTCAACTCGAACGGAAAGCGACCACTGTCTGGCGGTATGGCGCAAGCAGCGACGAGTAACGGTGCGGGTGGGAGTGGGACACATCAGGATGCTGAGACAGGTTACCAGTGGAGCAAGCAAGAGGATCAGCCGGGCTATGAGTGGAAGAATACGAGGGCGAGGGAGGAGGAGGCTAGGGCGTTGGACAACATTGCTGACAAGGGCTCAATGATCAGGCGTAAGTGGCTTCTCATCGACCACGAAGAAGTATGCTAACAGATACGTAGTGCGATACGGTGACCCACTCGATGCTAGCATACCCTCGAAGACGAAGCGTTGAAGGCAGTCCATGAACATGCTGGAGGAGCGCCGAAACATACACGCGAAGACTATGGTCACGACGGGGGCTACGCAAAGCATATGGTGTCATGGTTGCAAGTTGCGCGTGACACTCTGGGTATCCGACGTTACGAGCTGTACAGACATGCGCAATGCAACGACTTCATGCAATGAGATGACTGATGGGCTTAGACAGCTTCAACATATCTCAGGAACAATACAACGTATTCAAGTCCATTCCTCGATAGGTCTTGTGTCAAATCGTACTTCCAGTCTTTCGTCCCGAACGCCGTCCCATGCAGTGATATATTCCCATCCAGACGCGACAAGTCCAACTCTCAATCGCTCTCATTACCATCCTCGTCATCGTCATCATCCTTGTTATCCTCCTTCTCCTCCAGCGGATCCTCTGTCAACTCCTCCCCAACAACCTCCTCCTCAATCTCGTCGTCTTCAACCTCTTCATCCTCCACATCTTGTGTCTCATCCCCCTCTTCTTCCGTAACCTCTCCATCCCCAGCATCTCCACTCTCCCTTCTAACCCTCTTCGTCGCCCTCTCACCATCATCCGCACCCTCCATGACGACATCCCCGTTTGCCGCTGATTTGGCCGGTGTGGAGGTAGCTGCATCGGTGGAAGCAGTAGTGCCTTTCTTCTCCTCGCGCACCTTCTTCCTGTACGTGTTCCGCTTATCGGCTTGTATCGACGTGAACTTTGTGACTTCGGCTTCGAGGCGGGGTAGCATAAAGGAGAATTCTAGGTCCGTCATTGCATCGAAGACGTCTTTCGGCATGACGGTTTTCTTGCCGCTGGCGAGGGCTTTTTCAGCGGCGCTGCATGCTTGTTAGTGAATGTCCATTTATGGGAACTCGCATGCCATTGGCGCGTAAGTCTTCTGTCGCCGGGAGAGAGGGGGAATCGTACGTTGATGTGATGTAGTTAACAAACACAGTTGCGCTCTTGCTCATAGCAAGTAGCGCATCTTTTTGTATTTGGGTGTTGGGTGGTAGGACGCCTTTTGCCAGGCGCTGGACTATAGACTTTGGCAGGTTTAGGTCCTATGATCGCGTCATTAGTACTAGTCTTTTCCAATTGACCTCAGTCGCATGCGACATACCTCGACACCCAAGCTCTCCTCTCTGGGTACTGATCTGGGTGGTGCGGGACTCTCTTCGTTTGACACCGCCGATACATTGCTCTTCCTAGGCGGCATTGTGTCCCGTGATGCTGTATGTGAGGACCTGAAGACGACGTCGTTCAAAAGATGGCGAGTATGCGATTGCGGGGCGGCTATCTTAGGAGTGGTGAGCGTGAAGGTGCGATGCGATCGTGGATAGTTTTAGTGGACCCTGACGCGTGAGCACGCGTTGAGGTCTGGGCGCGACTACCGAAAGACGACTGGAGGCATTCCTGCATCACCAGAACCACCACTAAATCGTACAGGGAAAATTCCGACATGAATCAGGATCTACACTCATGCTCCTGGGCAGTATGGAAAGAACCACACGAATCAAGTTTGTGTGAGAATTGCGCTCTCGTGAGTTTCGGTACTTCAGATCTCGTAATACCCAGTAGGCGTACACAAGTTTTCTACGGCGTAAAAGACTACGAGTTCTAGATACAGTTCTGCCAGGCGTTTTATTGATTGTATAACGTTTTTCACGCATCAATATCAGGACCTGAAATCAGTCGGTACGCATCATTTCTACCTCGACGCGGCCAGGTATGCCCAGGCGATTTTGGCATCAACACCACAGACGCTGAGGATGAATCGCATTTAAATCGATGCAGTCTAGTTTGTATCTTCGAACTGTCTTCTCATCAACACCAACCTTCGATTACTAGAATTTCGTGTTCTCAGTGACGCATTCTCATTTCCTTCAAGTTTCTTGTAGCTAAATAAGGTTTGGGTGTACCGTCAAACACAAATCTAGGTGCGAACAATATAGTAGCAGGATTTTGCGATTCTAAAGACCAAGGCAATCAGTGCAATGTCAGCCGCATGTTCAGATGGCACCATGGCTCCCGAGGTCCTGTCCCTTATCGATACCTCGCCACGTGCGGCTCTAGTGCGATCTGAACACCCCACTAAACTAAAGCCCAAAGTGGTCCTTCCTCCACTTCTACACCAACGCTACGCCGTCGCCGGATTCAGCTTACAGCATTTATTCTATATTTACTAGAGGCGCACTTCCCGTGTTCACGCTAGGATGCTGTTATCGTGGCACGAGGCGAAGCGGGCAATAAACCTGCCTCTGGAGAAGTGAGCAGCTGGATTCTCGTTCTCCCCGAGCAGCACAGGCAAATCGGTCCGCCAATCGTTGTCTTGTGGAGGCCAAGAGCCATTCGAGCGTACCCAATCTCGAAGCGAGCACCTACCGCGGCGCCGTTGCTGGATGTGGCACGCCTCGAGAAACCCCGCCCATTCTCTGCTTCTCTCCAAACTTTTGTTGTTGATTCCTCATAACAGCCGGTACAATATGCGTCGCTAACTGATCGCTTGATCTCCAGATTTTGGATCGCGGAGTACATGTGGAGACAGCCATTCCTCTGCTACCATGTCGAAGGTTCTTCTACAGATGCTAGCGGGGCGGATCTGGGGTATCAGCGTGGCTGAATCCAGACTACCAGCCAAGACAACATGGCCTGCTTGGCTGCATCCCGCTGTCCAGCACTCTGCGGAAGAATGGCTGCAAAGGGCTCTTGGGTATTCGGGCCTGTAAAAGTGATGCGGCGTAAGTTGGACAATTCGTGGACGATCGATATGATCAGGATAGGGATGAAACGGGTAGCTTGGTTCACGATTACGCCTACCACGAACATCCCTTCCATCTAGGGTTTGACAGCGCAGCCCTAACAACGTGTGCGCATACATCATGCCTTCAACCCAAAGGCTTCAAGGTAGATCCTTGGCAACCAGATGACGTTCGAAATGGCAAGGTACGCGCGAAGCCAACGGTAAGCAACATATAGGCCCAATATGCTCATGCACTCAGCCTCCCTTTCTTGGGCGGATTGCACCTTTCACCTTCCGTTATCACTATCGAAGTTGCATGCCCAGCAAATCCTCTCATCCTTGGCATACCTCCTACCCCGGCAAACGTTCTCCTAGTCTGGACTGCACCGATAACCGCGTCCCTGGAACCTGAGCGAATCGTCCACACCCACCCATCCGCTATTAAGCCCTGCGAGGTCCCTGCATTGCTGATCATCTCTTCTTCTCCCCAGCAAAAATGACGGTGCCAGCTTTGAGGGTTATTATCGATGGCGATAGCAGCAAGACGTATAGGAGCGGAGAAAAGGTCACTGGAAAGATATGTTTGGCAGTAGAAGAGCAGGAAGACATTGAGTCGCTGAAGGTGGTTTTTGCGGGTAGTTGTGTCACCAAGACATCCAGACCTCTACACGTGAACTCGAAAACCCACCCATCTGCACAAAGGCATGAATACGAGGAGAAGATACGGCTCTTCAACCGTGAGAAAGAGTTAGTTTCCTGTCGCAATCTTGGACCGCGGAAGTATTCATGGGACTTTGAATTTGTCTTTCCAGAGTCGACCGAACCCCAAATGAAGGGCATGGTACGCGGCTGCAACTATCTTCGCGAGCCACATCCTCTTCCGCCGTCCTTCCAGCTCAAGACCAGTGGGCCAGGCGGTGCGGCACAAATATCATACTTCGTCCAGGCCAGACTCATTCTCAGTGGCTCGACAGAGACTAAGAGGTGTAAACACATACTACGATACCATCCAAGAACGTTAGCGGATGTACCACGAAGGGCGCAGGTCAAATCTTCGGTGCTCCATGGCCAAGTCTGGAAACCGAATAAAGAGAAAGATGGATCGCGAGTCAAGAAAGTTTTCTCTGGCGTCTCTATGAACTCAACGCCGCGGATCGTTCCCACGCTGAACCACCCCGAAAAGGTGTGCCCAGGACAGCACATGCCGTTGTCACTCAGTCTGCTCAACGCGCGCGACCCCGCCAACCATGCCGAGCGGGAATGCATCATCGACTCCTTAACGGTCACCATCTCAACATACTCAACGACAAAGTGCGGAAACACCGTAACGGACCCCGAGGACGTTGTATCCAAGCACATCACCTGCATATCGCGGACCGACATGAACAGACCAATACCGTTCAACAAAACGACGACGTTAACATCGAACTTCCGTCTTATCGATGACATAGAGTGCGTGCCAACCTTCAAGACATACACAATAACCCGGCGCTACGCACTTGCTATATCCATCGGCATCAAATACAACGATCAGCACTTCACCATCCGTTCCAGCACACCCCTGGAAATTCTACCTCGCATACCTTGTGAACGCCTACCACCGCTAGAAGACAGAGAGGACTTTGAACAGCTACCAGAGTACACACCCAGGGAGCCTTCGCGAGAGTTTGCACCAGACTACGAATCTCTGTATGCGCTGTCGCGAACGCCATCCAGTTCGCATTCAAACCCATTGTCCTTGGCGGGCTCAAGAAGTTCAAGTCTCTTCTCAGGGGGCTCAGCACCAAGTTCTGCAGTGTCAACACCGGGAATGGAAATCGAGCAGCCTGTTTATCGTTTGTGATAGCGTTGGAATGTAGCTCGTTGTCGCGATGTGGAGTTGGTGGGGCTAGGTCAGTTTTGATAGGACGCCATGTCGACGTTTGCCGAAAATTTTCCCCTCGGCCAACACACCTCATCTTACCTGTATGGATACCTTTACCTCATAGACTACTGCTCTTTTTTGAGTACAAATGAGGCTGTTGCTACCGTCGTAAGGCCAGAATTTCGGGGTTTTTTATTTTCCAAAATCCCATTATTGCATCAAACAAGGCTCGTTGGTGTAGTTGGTTATCACGTCAGTCTAACAAGAGCTTCACAGCTCGTTAGGACACTGAAGGTCCGGAGTTCAAACCTCCGATGAGTCAAGCTCGTCGGCGCTCGCAAGAGTGCATCGAACATTTTTTGTTTTTGGTGGTGCTGGGGTATTTTTTGCCTCTACAACCGTCTTTTTGGCTGAGAAAATGTGTTTCAATCCTAACGGGCATACCGCACGTACAACGAGAACCACGAGAGTCTCTCTTTTACCTAACTTTTGCATAAGATGCCAGGCTTAAACTGGCATCAGTCCAAAGATTTGACTTCGTGGCTGGATGGAATGCAGCAAGTACAATGCACACAACGAGAGTCTCTTTTAACTGTGTCTCTGGCAAGCTATGTACGTTTCTGTGTGAGCAGGTCCTTCTCGCGTAGTTTCCAAGCTCAGTGATGGTCTAGCAGAGCAAGTGGTCAAAAAGAGTGTTCGCAGCAACATCAGGCTGCACAATGGATTGAACAATGAACCGGCCGTGACCTTTCCGTATGGAAAAGCAATGCGTCTATACTCTATATGCGTACACATCCTATTATCGACATGTACCAACATTTCTCGCACCGTCTATTTTCACCACACACACACCCCTTGGAGGCAACGCACTCAAGCCTTGACACCGCACTTAAGATCAAACTTAGTCTTGCGGTCGGCAGTCATAGCACCCCAGGTCGTCTCATCAGCGACCTTTCCGTTATCACCAATGGAAGCAGGCTTCCACGGCTCATCAAACGCCTCGAAGTAGAAGCCGTTGAAGCCCCAGTCCAGCAGCGCGCAGAAGCCAGTTTGGTAAAAGTGCTTTGCGTTGTCGAGTCCGCCCTTGGCCTCATCGTAGTCGGTGCCAACAGCCGTGGGCCAACCTGTTTCACCAGTCCAGATCTCAGGTGCTTTTTCGCGGCCGCCGGCCATTTTCTCGATGTGTGCGGTGGCTTGGAACATGTCGTCGAGGTAGACGTGGCTGCGGAGATGTTAATTTACCGTTCTTTTCTTGTGTGTGTGTGTGTGTGTGTGTAATGTAGGGATGCATACGTAGCGTTATCGCGGCTGGCGCCCTGCCAGAAGGCAAAAGCGTTGACCATGATGATGTCGGCGGTGCCGATGATGGCATCACCGGTTCCGTCGGCGAACTTGTTCCACGAGTCTGCTGTGCCGACCTTGATGCCAGAGGGCAGCTTGGACTTGACCGTCTTGATCTTGCCGGCGAGCTCCTCGCCGGTGAAGTTGCCGCGGTAGAGCGTCTCGGAGCCGACGGTGACGGCGTAGATGGTTTCGGCGTATTGCTGGGCGACATCTGTGATAGCCTTAAGGTCCTTGTTGAAGGACTCCTCGACGTCGGGCCTGGGGTGTCACATGTTAGTATACTTGATCGTGATAGTTGAGGTTTGGAGAGAGGCGAAGCATACCAGATACCCAGAACGACCTTGAAGCCTGCTGACTTGGCGGCCGGAAGAGCGGTCTTCGCCATATCGCAGTCCGAGGCAGAGTAACCACGAACAATGGTCGAACCAGAGTTATCCTTGATAGCCTTGAGGTCGGCAGAGTAGTCTGCCTGCGTCTTGCACTCTCCGCTTCCCATCTTCGTTCCAAGGGCCCATCCCATCTTTCCCTTCTCAGCAGCCAAGACAACTGCGGGAGCAGCTGCAAGCGCAGCGGCGACGATCGAGAAACGCATCTTCGATTATGATAGTAATGTAGTAGGTGGTGCGAAAGTTGGCAAACGGGCGGATCTATGCGGGATTGAAGAGTTCGACTGAGGCCCAAAATATGAACAGCAAAAGAACGAGTGTAGGTATTTACTCTCCAACCGAAGAAAGAATGACTGTGACGTAGAGTCGTGGGGAGATTGGTTAAAGAGAGATGAAGAGGGAAAAGAAAGGTCTTGGTGCCTGGGGTTGGAAGGGGATGATTCAAGGGGGCCGCGCATCCACGCGCTAGGCTTGTGCGTGTTCCTGGTTTAGAAACATCGGCCGTGGTCAGGTACACCAATCATGGCGTGCGCCGCCACATGCTTGACATGCTTGAAGAGTGGGGCTGCGGAGTTGCGGCATGTGTTCTGGGTGCGTCGAGAACATTGAGGGCGTAATGTGCGTAGGGGGTTTGGGTGTTGTGCAAGATGGAGGGTGAAGTGTACGCTGATTGTAGTTGGCAACGGCCTTTGTTTTTCTCGCCTATTCTAACGTCGCGTTCGCGTCTTGTTGCGAGGGTTCACGCAATTTCGCCGATCACAGCATGTGTCTTCCATGGATGTTGCGTCGGGCACGTATGAGACTAATACGACAACAAACTTCCTCTATCATATTCAGAGTTACATACGCGTCACCTACCCCCTAGATAGCCGAAAGGGATGCGCCTCAGTGTTCAACACAAAGTCATCCAAGCTAATCAAGTCTGTATCTGCAAAGCACAGGTAAAAGTACTTGAGCGTCTCAGCCATCCAGAAACTCTCCATGTAATCCTCCTTCTTCGATCCGATGACTGTAACGTCCAAGATCGCTGCATTCGCGAGTTCGGTGTCTGTTGCACTGGATACAGCTTCGAACATTTGCCATGCTGTCTCGCGCCAGATGGGATCGCCTGTGATACGCCATAGTATGAAGACTGATTCAATGGCCTCGGGACGCAGGATGTAACGGGGATCTTTGGCAGTGGTGAAGCCTTTGGGTAGATGGGGTTTGTGTTGTGGTCGTGCTGCTGCATCTACAGCATAGCGCTCTTCGTCCCAAGCGCAGGGTTTGCGATGATCGGAGTTAGGGCATAGAACCATGTTGTACCTCTCTGGCATGATACCAGTGGGAAATGCCTTGTAAGCATATGCGCAGCCGCGGGCAAGCTTCGCTCCCGTATCGAGGTACTCCGCGTCATCGAACAAACGCCCGCCGAGCGCAAAAAGACCACCAATAAAGCAAGACAGATGCTCGCTTTCAGGGTCGAGACTAGGACCATCCGCGTGAACATCGACATTACCAGAGATCAGAATATCCTCCTTCCCTGGTATCATAGGTGCGAAGAACAAGTTGTTCATCGCCGTATCCATGAAAGCGCGTGACATGGCCTCGTATTTGCTCGAGCTGGTCTCCTTTGAACCAAGCAGAGCATGCGCCTTCGGCAGGTACTCATACAGGGAATCTGCATTCCCGCCTATCGTGAACTGATACCCAGAGACGACGTCCTTCGCGCTCATGTGTACCATCATGGGCCACATGCCCGGCAGCTTCGTCGCATTTTGACTCTCCGCAAAGACATCCATCAGATTCGACGCGGCGGCATAGTACTTGTCGTCTCCGGTAATCTGGCTCAGCCTGCTGAACTCGAGTGTAATGGTACCAGGACTAGCGCTGACTACCTGGTTCTCGACTATCAAACCAGTGCCCCGCTTCGCGTCTTCGAAGTTGATGAAGTCAACAGGCATGCCATTCTCCGTGTTGAAAGCGCCATACAACAGGTCGCCTACTTCAATTGCCTTCGCCTTCAGCACCTCGTGTCCGCTCAAGTCGTATGCAGCAAGGAGCCCGCCCAGATACCGTATACACGTCTCGAACGTATTGACAGTTGGCGCTGTAGACTTGCCGAAATCGATTGTCGCTACTGCTTCGACAGCTTCGTAGAATTCATCACGCATGCCGAGCATCCAGAGTGTGTCTAGTGAATCCACCAAAGTTGCAGCCCAGCCAGAGAACTGGTCGACGTACTCTCCACTTATAGGCTTCAGGGCATCCTTCATCCATGCCTTGCTCCTGTAGCTTGCCCAGCTCTTCTCGAACACTCTCTTCACGTATCGTCGTCTCCCTTCTTGTATGGTATGTACATCGTGCGGGTCGGGTTTGAACTTGTGTTGTATGCGAGGACGACCCATGAAAGGTGTAGGAAGTTTCGGGCTTTGTGGTGGTGGGAAGGTGAAGTTCACAGAACTCCAGTCGAAGCTACTCGGCGTCGCAACGATGTGCGGAATCTGAGATGGATCGTTCATGTAGCGCGCCAACGCAGCGGTGGACCCGTGATCGTGTACGGCATGGCGAGACGGGAAGGCTTCGTCTTTAGGAAGGAAGTAGTATATCCAGCAGAGGATGGAGACACTGAGGACGACGTGTCGAGTGCGCACGCGTGGCATTGCTGATGCGCGCTCAAGGAAGGCGGCTAGAAGCTAAGGGAATATACATAGACGCTTTCCATGGCCAGATGCGATGGGCGAGATGCGCGGGGGAAGGGCCGATGCGATTGCATATTGCGCAACGTGTTACGTGTCTAGAAGAGTGCTGTGCGGACGGTTTCTGATACGACACTTGCATGCCTTGGCCGCGGCTGATGATGATCGCCGAGGATGAACCATGCAAGGGCGATCTCACTATCCCAATGAGGGAATGACAGGAGCTGTGTTGCAGCATACACAGTGCCACGTTTTGACAGGTAGCACGACAATGTGTACTTCTACATTTATATGTAGTACTTGATCAAACATATTGGCAGGATGAGACAAATCCGACTATCCTCGTGCCACCACTACACATGTAAGTAGAACCACGAGAAAGAAGCAAAGGAGCATATTCAGAATATCGTTGATCTTGTATTAACTAATGATAATAGGAGAGGGGTATACAATGCTGATGCCATGCGTCAAATGCAACATTCATCTTTTCGACCGTAAAAACGCTACAACAAAACACAAACATCTACTTCCTGCTACTCGCCCGGCTATTCGTTCTCGGCCTGGTAACAAAGCTTTCCCTTGTGTTGACGCGGTCGATATCGAACGGATTGGGGTTGAAGTCGAGATCCCTGACTGTTCTCCGACTTCTCGTTGAGCGACCAGTCTGAACCTTCTTGAGACCCTCGCCATCGGTCTCCTTCTCAGTCTTCATCTCCTCGAACTTGGGTGCGGACTCTTCCTCGTGTGCCTCCTCCTCAACTTCCTCTTGGGGTGTGAGAGTGTTGGCGCGCGAGGTGTCCTCTGATTCGACACCTTGGGCTTGTCGTGCCGCCTTTGCGGCTTGTTGGTTGCGAATGCGCTCCATGAAGGCCTCGGATTGTGCGGCGTACTTGCACTTTTCGCGGATGGTCTTGCCGTACTTGTAGAAGAGGAAGGGGAGCGGGAGACAGGCGACAGCGAGAAAGGCAGGTACGGATGAGGCCCAGTGGATACCGAGGCCCTTGTACATCTGCGAGGTGAACAGAGGGAAAGCAGCACCGAAGATTGAACGGATGATACCGTTACCGGCCAGGACGGATGCAGCGAAGATGGTGTACGAGTCGATGAGGTAGTTCATGATGGACAGGAAGATGAGCACCATGCCGAAGCCGAATGGAATGGAAGCGACAACACTGGCGGCCCATGGCAGATCAGGCGAGTTGGTCCAGGCGAACCAGAACAGACCAATGGGGAGTGCGATACCGCCGATGATGCACATGGGAAGACGTGCCTCAGGAGCTGCGAATCCGCGGCCGGACTCGTTGACCTTCTTCATGTACATCTTGTTGTCGACCGTAATGACGTATGTGATAGCGAGCAAGACTCCGATAGCGACGGCGACGAAAGGCAGACCACTGATACCCTCATTCCAACCACGGCCGATACGGTAGACAATGGGGAAAGCGCCGAAGAGCATGTAAAGGATACCGTAGATGATGGCGTGATAGAGAGAAAGGAGCAGAACGATGGGCTCGCAGAAGAGCAGGATCCAGGGACGCTTGAGACCAGTTGCGAAAGCCTCTCCAAGCGAAACCTTGCCTTGGTCAATATCAGTGCGGGATCGGTAGACCTTTCCAGACAGCTTCGAGAGCTTCTCAGCACGTTTCCTGAGCAGGACCGGAGCGTATGTCTCAGGGACGAGGAAGGAGGTGACGACGAGAATGACACCAGCCCAGATAGCCATGAGACCATTAACCCATCTCCATCCTTCCGTCATGCCCAAGAAGCCACCAATAATCGGACCGAGAACGGGACCCATAAACGGCGCAGCGGAGAAGATTGACATGGCCAGTCCGCGCTCATTTGCGGAGAAGAGATCGGCAATGACACCTCCAGCGTTGGTAAGTGGACTGGAACCGAAAGCGGCAGCGAAGAATCGGAGGATGAGCAGGCCGTAGATGGTGGGCGCACCGGCGGCACCAGCGTTGAAAGCCATGAAAGCAGTGTATGTTCCGACGAAGACGATTTGGCGACCGTACAATTCCGAGAAGGGAGCCCATAGCAGAGGTCCAAGGGCGAATCCGAGAACGAAGAGCGATACACCGAGTGTGACGATTTCCTGGCTAACGCTGAACTCAGCCATGATTTGTTGAATGCCTAGCAGATGTCAGATGTTGTTCCATATCCTATCGGTTCGCGCAATACATACCTCCAGAGAAAGCCGATGAACAGAATGATACGACGAGAACCGAGTTGGCGACCGCAATGGCCATGATCCACTTCTTCGTCTTGGGCCAGGTCATTGGATTCCTGGGGTCGTTGTCGATCCACTCCACAACGTAGGGATCCTCTTCTGTTCCCTCGCCCTCATAGTCGTAGTTGATGATCTCCTTGGTCACGACACCCTGATCCGTGATCATCTTCCAATGCGAGATGCCTTCTCTTCCAGACTCGACGTCCATGTTGCTTCCGCTACTGCTGTTCGCCGCAGAGCGGTCGGCGACCTGTTGGTCCTTCTCCATTGTGATAATGCTTTTGATTCGAAGTGTCGGTGTCGTAGATTGATGGATGATATTTGTCGAAAGGGTAAAACGGAAGCGACGTAGGGACAAAGCCCAGGTATATTAAAAGGATATCTAAGGGAATAAAATAGACGAAAAGTAACCTCGGAGTAGGAAAGCAGGGAGATCACCGCGGGAGACGCTACATATAAAGAACCACACACACGGCGGGCAGCGCGCACAAGTCATGCGATGCAGCGGTAAGAGAAGCCACTAGCAAATGCGTAACCAGGACAAAACAAACCGGGCGACTGCCCAACCATCTGGATGCGTCCCCATTCCCGACTCGCGCGCACCGCTCCAGAAATCCGCTTGCAACGTGCGATCCATGAGGCGATGACACCATGATCAAAAATCTCAGGTCTGCTCGGCCGAAGCGTCGCGCTAGGCTCGAAGCAGCCACGTCATTCGAAGGCTTGGCCCGCGGAGCCAATCACAGCAGCGGAACGCAGAGCAGGCGCCGAACACGGCAGGGATGGCGGCGCTGGGAAAAGGTGCCGCTATGCATGTTGCAGATCGCGGACAGTGCGTCATAAGGCTCTGACAAGGGTTTTCGATCTCGAATGAGAATGTACCGAGCTGCCGAGGTTACCCTGTGGGTGTTCCAGGATTTACTTTTAGAAGCTCGAGATTTTCGTGCTGTTTCCGCTGTCTGGAGTTAACGTGCGGATGGTGGGCGGAGAGTCGGCGTCGGCGTCTAAATTCTCCTCTCCTCCAAGATACGAATCTGAAAAGAGGGGCGTACGCGTGTTTGTTTCCATGGATATGGAGATGCTTACTGATGATTGAAGCTGATTCATCGTGAAGAGTTGCTTAACTCCATCACCACGACCGAGGTGATTCAACAGTGCAGTCTTCACTAAGCATGTATGCATACGAGGCTCATCTCGTCTCACACTCGCTACATGACACCGAAACGGTACCTCGCACGATAGATAAGATGCGGCATTGATTCCTCAGCACAATCCGCTCCGCTCCACCCTGGTCGCTGGTTCGGACCAAGATGTGCTGTCCCGATTCCGACCCGGAATTCGGGGTATAATCGCATCACAATCCCGTCACCATGAAGATCACAAGACCCATTTGTTGGATACCTTCACATCACACAAAAACGCATTTTCCAAGCAGACCCGACAATGCAAATCACGATCCCAACGGCCGTATCTTCACCCTATCTTCTGGAAATTGCTCGAACGCCCCCGTGCATTGCGGCTCCAAAATAAGGTTGCAAGGTTCGCTTAGAAACGAACGGGGCTCCCGATAGCTGGTGGGTCGGTATCACGACTCATGCAGGTTCTAGAAGGTGCGTTGAGCCGCGTCGTGAGATTGGACCCATCTCTCAACGTTTTCTGTGTTGTTGTTGCCGAGGTACATGTACAGTACATGTTGTTGCTTTGGATAAGTCGTGTGAGGGTTTGAGTTGCGTTTCTAAACAGAGGCGCTCACTCCATTCATGAAGAAACTCGGATAGCCACCTACATTGCATCAAGCTTTTGTCAACATTCAGTTTAATACCAATGCAGGCTACAGCGCATCTATTCAACGTCTTCTTCCAATGAAATGCTCTAGTCGCTGAAGCTTAAGGCAGCTGTCTAGTATCCGCAATTTCGCCAAGTTCAAGCCACAGAAAAGGTAGACCAACTTTATCCAGTAGGCACATTGATGGACATTCCGAAATGTGCATCAGCATCTGCATTTGTAATATATCAGGCTTTTGCAACGCCACTAGAGGCAGTTGTACACCGTATTAGGGGTGTTTTCCTCGTAGAATGTTGCAGACCGGCTGTTTCGTCCTGCGCTCTTGAACTCACCACACCTGTGCGCACGTAGGAGTGGGGATTGAGATGGTTGATGTGACTTGACGATATGTTTGAAGCTTTGTATTGCTTTCACACGAATCAAAAGAGTGAGGGTTTATCTGCGACGAGCCTTGCTTTGTGCTGTACAGACGTCTTTCCAGATGTCACATGCCAGATTCATCCATGTAGACTTGTAACACAAGTTTTGATACATGACTTCTGTCATTCTTATTCCATACAAATCTTTCCCTTTTATCATAAATCGTTTGTATCCAATCCAACGCCAACGCCAATGCTAGCTGAACATGCGATGCTTTTCTCCATCAATCGAGGCTGCGTAATCCAACTTAAACCTCGTTGCTAGGGTACGTAACCTTCTCCGTAGGCATAAACTCCTCTTTAATCGCCCTCATATTGACGAACCTCGCCAGCAAGTTCGCACTACCAGCCTTGTCGTTCGTTCCACTAGCCCTTGATCCACCGAAAGGCTGTTGTCCAACAACTGCACCCGTGCACTTGCAGTTGATGTAGAAGTTACCCGCCGCGTCCCTCAGCTTCTCCGACGCGTACTTGATAGTCTCCCTGTCCTTTGCGAAGACAGCGCCCGTCAACGCGTACTCGGATGTGTCGTCGATCTGCTTGATGATGTTGGCGAAGGCGTTGGGCGCAGCGTCGTCGTAGACGTATGCTACAAGGACGGGGCCGAAGAGTTCGCGGGATAGAAGGGGGTGGTTGGGGTTCTTGGTACGGTAGATGGTCGGGTGGATGTAGTAGCCCTTGCTGCTGTCGTACTTGCCGCCCACGACGAGTTCGAGTTCGCTGTCGTTCTTGGCTTCGTCGATGACGCCGGACAGCTTCTTGAAGGATGCCTCGTGGATGACGGGGCCGATGAAGTTGGAGAAGTCGGTGGGCTCGCCGATTTTCAGGGCTTCGACTTCGCGGACGAGGATCTCCTTGAACTCGGGCCAGGCGGACTCTGGTACGTATAGACGGGAGCAGGCGCTGCACTTTTGACCTTGGTACTCGAATGCACCGCGGACGGTCTGGATAGCTGCGTTGTGGATGTCGGCATCTTTGTGGACGAGATGGAAGTTCTTTCCTCCTGTCTCACCAACGATCCTGGGGTAGCTCTGGTACTTGCCCTCAGCCACACCGTTCGCGATCTTTCCGTATAGTTGACGGAATACCGCTGTGCTACCGGTGTAGTGCAGAGATGCGAATTGCTTGTGGTTCAGGACTTCCTGGGTTACCTCCACAGCATCACCGGGCACCCACTGGATCACGTTTGGTGGAAGGCCAGCTTCGATGAGAATCTGGTAGAGAAGCCAGTTCGACGCAATCGCAGATGGGGATGGCTTCCAGACAACGACGTTACCCATCAGAGCTGGGGCTGCAGGAAGGTTACCGCCGATGGCTGTGAAGTTGAATGGTGACACGGCATAGACGAAGCCCTCGAGAGGTCGGTACTCAACGCGGCTGTACCTGTTAGTCTCGTTTCCGAGCTATAACCAGATGCTTTACTTACTTCCAGACTCCGGGCGAGTTGTGTGTGGGCTGGTGTCCGTATGTGTCTTCCGCGTACTTGACATTGAACCTCAGGAAGTCGCACAGCTCAGCCGCTGAGTCAATCTCGGCCTGCCACGCGTTCTTGCCCTGTCCCACCATGGTCGCAGCCATGATCTCGTATCGGTACTTTGTGGCGACGAGGTCGGCCGCCTTCAGGAACACGGATGCGCGTTCGGCGAAGGGAAGTGCCTCCCATGCTGGCTTAGCAGCTAGGGCTGCGTCTATGGCCTTCTTCACATCGGCTGCGCTGGCATTGGAGTATTTGGCGATAACGTCGGCGTGGGAGGAGGGGTTGTTTTGGGTGAGGATTGAGGAGTTGTTGATCTGGATGGTGTTAGAGTGACACAAGACTCGTATGTGCGTGTGGAAGGCCTACGTATTCTCCTCCTACGGCAAGAGGTACTTGTACTGGTCCTTGCTTCTTCATGCGTGCAACCGCATCTTGAAGCTTCTGGCGGTCTACCGAGCCTTTGGCGTAATGTTGCTAGAATTTTGAGTCAGCATATTGATTTTGAACATATACATCGTCTCTTCTCTTACGTTAGGCTCGTTGTTGATAGTAGGAATCTTGAAGTTTGCAAGCGTCCCCGCATACCGTCTCGATGCGATCTGCGCGCCAGCATAGGCTGCGGGCAGCGCATTCAAAGTCTTGGAAGCAGAGCGCAGAGGCTGGAGACCCTTTGAAGAACCCATTGTGTGTGTGTGATGATAATTTTGATTGACCAAAAATCTAAAGGAACGCGTCGTTATGTATCTTGAGCTATGAAGCTTGACGTGATGGAGCTCTCGGTTTCCGTCGGCTCTCTCCCCAAAGTGTGGGGCGGCGAAACCTACCTATGGGAGCGAACATATCGCCGAACACTCCCATCGGTGTGGGGTTGCAGCTTGGAGAGAACTTTTTCGCTTGTACTATGGTACGATGCGGATCCGATATCGCAGAAACTGATTCGGTCAGTAGCGGTACACGATCCACATACGCTCATCGCAAGGCTTGCATCGGAAGGCTTTAAAATGTCTAGGATCAGGAATGTAAGATCGTCTTCATGAACATGTATCATTGTTAGGCCCGATTTCTAGTCGGAACTTTTTCCTATGTGCGAGTCAAGTACACTAGCACTACAGCCTTACGAACGCCATTTCGCCATAACGGTCAACACAAGCTGCCTACTCCTCCATAGCCTCTGGTACCGCCGTATCATTTGAATCATCACCCCATAGACCATCAAGCTTGAACTCTGCAGCCCATTCCTTGACGATCTCCTTCTGATCGCCAACGAGTCCGCCCTTCGTAGCTGGTGCAGTCTTGGTAGTATCAGGCTCGGCAGGTGTGTACTTGGGAGGGCTGGTCCATCCTTGAATGCGACCATCTCTCCAGTCAACGATGACGGTTTGTGCCGCGGCGTGCATGTTGGGTACACCGCCCTTGCCCAGACGGCCTCTCTTCCTTGCTACTTGAACTAAGAAGTCGGTCGTCCTGTCGTTGCCCACAGCGTGTAAGGGAGGTAGATCGTAGACTGCCATCAATTTCGAGAAAAGCTCCTCCGAGGAAGACAGTCTCTTAATGAGCAGACTGACAGCGGGAACAGGGTCGTCAAT